AGACATGAGATTTAAACATATGAGCTCAACTTTATAAGAAAGAAAGAAAGGAAAAAACAACAAGGTAAGTAATATGATTTGAAGTTCTAACTTCATTTGTAAAGGTGCACCCAATGATTATTGCATATTTGAGATTGAGTGGACACATATATATTTAAGAAACTTTGAAGAAATATAGCATAATTATTCGTCAACTAGGAAAAGGCATGGATTCACGTAAACACATATCCATACCTATAGATACGCCAATGTTAGTGATGGTGGTGGACTGGTGGTTAACCGTAGGGATAGCTATTATAGTGGGCGTGATTGGCGGTGATGGTTGATAATAGTGATAGTCGTGATGTTGTAAATATTAGCGACGATGGTGATAGTTGATAATAGTAGTTGTGATAATGGTGATTGACAGTAGTAATAGTTGTGGTGATGCAGGTGGTTGGCAGCGACGATAGCACTGGTTGTCATGGTAAAGGTGGTAGATAGTAGTGGCTATCGTGGCAGTTGTTGGTTGTTGTCGATAACAATGATGGTATTGGTGGCGAACAATTATAATTGTATATTAGTAGTTTGTGGTGGTTTGAATCATCCTCTCAAAAAGTATGTAACTATATAGCCTCTTAATAATATTAGATTACATTTAAGATGTGAATGATTTAGATTTATTAATTGGTTTAATCACTTAAAAAAATGCACTTAATAGTCAAAGATAGGAATCATTCGGATTCATACCTTACAAACAAATGGGACTATGTAATTTAACATTTGATAATAGATTATTTACTATTTTTATCAAGTTCTCTGTTCAAGCTTATATTCTAATAGAAATTCTTTTCTAATTACTTTATAAGTAACTATTTATATTAAAAAAATTATAGCGTCAATGTATAGAATTTATATATATTTTTTCTCTGTGTTTTTAATTTACCTCCATGTTACTCGTACGATAGAAAGACAAATTATATTGTTTTGCACTGTAATTTATAATTCATAAGAAATTATTTGATATCTAATTCCACTCGTTTCCATACAATTTTTCGCTATTCTTTCATGAAGAAAATATCATTACAATAAAATGTCAATGCGTAGACTATATGTCCTCTCATTACTTATAAAACTTCTAATTTTCAAATTTTCTTCTCTTAATATCGATGTAAACTATGGTTGTCCAAAGGGACGGGACGGCCCGCCCCGGTCCCCGCCCACTTAGTTCTAAATGGGATGGACAAATATTAAACGGTACACGGGATGGGATGGGCTTTCAATTTCATTCCTTTTATCCCGTCCCGCCTATACCGCGTGAATTTTAATTTGTTTTAAAATAGAGCCATTGGGCAACGGCTATAAATGGCCATATTTGCCCCCCCCCCCACACACACACACCCTCAAAACACCCCCAACCCCCCTCCAAACTTTTAATTTAACCCCTAAGTTTATTAAATTATACTTTGACCCTATTTTCGATTATAAATACCCCTACCCTTCTTCATTTTTTTCCCACAATTATCAATTATTCTCTCTCAAATTTCTTACATTCTATCTATATTATTCTCTCAATTTTCTCACAATCAACTACATTTCAAGTATTTAGGCAAATTTTTTGGAGCAACTTTCAAGCTTCAAACTAATTCATCAAGTATTTGGAGCAATTTTTTGGGCATTTCTTCAAGTTTCAATATTCAATCACTGTGCACTTGTTTCATCTCCTAATTTTAATATATAATTTTTGCTTATCAGTTTATTTCTTAATTTTTGTGTTTATTTTACGTGTTCTATTTTCGTATTTCATTTGTGTGTTTAGTTTGTGTATTAACTTTTCTAATTTCATTTCATATTTAAATTATGGCTCCTAAAAATATATTTGGCGTGTTTAAAAAAAAGTAGTAAAGGCGATAATAGTAGTAATCCTAATCCTAATCCTTCTCCTAGAATTAGAAAACATAAAGATGAAATGACTAATGTTAATGAAACATCATTTTTCCAACCCCCTCCCCATCATATTATAATATTAATTTCGGAGAGCAATTAGATCATGAAACTTTAAAAAGACAATTTGGCAATGATATTTTTATTCAGGATGAAGAAAATGAGGAAGCAACGATTTGTATATCACTTGTATAGAATTTTTTTAAACACGATAAAATCAATGGACTTGCTATATGTGACAAATGCAAGCAACGATTTGTACATGCCGAAGGTGTGGGACGGGAGTTAACCAGGCACTTACTTAAGGACCACAAATCTTTATGGATGCAAGCTCAAATAGAAGCCGGAAAAATTCCGGATCCTAGCAGCGGTACTGGCGCTTCTAGTGGATCTAGCGGGGGTTCTAACTTTTTACAACAACTTGACCTTGCTTCTGGTACTATTTTACGCCCCTATAACAAAGATAGAGATCGTGAAAACTTAGCAAAAATGGTGGTTGTCTGTGGCTTAAATGAGATCAAAGAACTTACTAAATGATTCTTATCTTAATCAAGAATTGGAAAGTAATAAAGACGAAGAAGGCAACAAACAACTTTTGGCATGGTGGAGGGAGCGTGACAAGGCATTTCCAACACTTTCAATAATGGCCCGAGATATACTAGCTATTCAAGCATCATCAGTAGTATCGGAGAGTGCTTTTAGTGTGGCAAGATTTCAAATCAGAGATCATAGACATTTATTAGCGGAGGACAACCTAGAGATTTTCGTATTATTCAGAGATTGGATTAATTCAGAGAAAAAAAATCTTGGTTTTGAAAAATTAACCACTAGGGAAGAAGAATAATACAATGAGATACTTAGCACTAGGAGCGATGACGACCAGACACTCATGGAACATCAATCAACATTGCCAATTCCAGAACAATGTCCGAGAGAAATTATAGATAAGTTACAACGAAGCTATATAGGAGCTTACAAATATTAGTATGATAATTTATAATTGACTACTAAGAGGCCTAATTCAAACAGAACCCTTACTAGAAGGTGGCTGTGTAGATTAGGTGTTCTTCAAAAGAATTGTATTTGTATGTGAAATTTGAAAGTTCTATTAATAAAATAAATGGTTTTAAGCCTTGATTTATTTTTATGAATTCTCTTACACTTTTACTTAATTACTTAATGGATTAAAATTATATTAAATAAATTACAACTCTATTATAATTACTAAAATATTTCGTTACAAGTCTTTTGTTTTAATATTTTATAATTCTTTATTTAGTATCTTTATAATTTATTAAGTTTTAAGTTTATTAAATAAGTCAAAAAATTAGTTGTTGCAAACTTTAAAAACTTAATCATTGTCAAAAAACTATCTGTTGCCAAACTTAATGCTCAAATAATTAATTTTTTCCTAAAAAAGGCCCACGTAGGACTCGCGAACCGTCCTGTCCCATCCCGTTTGTTAGCGGGATGAGATGGGCCTACAGTTTCGTCCCGTTTAGGCTCATCCCGCCACCGTCCCGGCTAAATGTCGTCTTGTCCTGTCCCATTATATATATAATATATATATATATATATAATTGAATGGTGGCAGAAATATTCGAGACCCCCCTAGACTTGGCAACTTTTATTTAATTCCCCCTTAAATTTCATGTGGTCTTTAATACCCTTTGAACTTGAAAATTTGATAGTCTTGACCCTCTTAAATGCTGATGTGGCAAAGAACGTGAATACACTCTCTTTTAGGCACTTGGGAGAGAAGGAAAATAGAAAAATTAGCTTCCGAATGGGGTATTTTTCAATATTAATTGCCACATAATCAAATATAATGATTTATTTGTTCCAATTGTATTTCTCGTTGTTTCTTAATAATATACAATGTATATATATTTTTCAACTGTATTTTTTTTAAAAGTAAAATGAATATATGTTTCAACGATGTATTTCTTATCTTTTTTTCCGGTCCAAATCTAAAAAGTTAGTTGAAACTCCATTTATCTAGCCAATTAAAAAGAAGATCTAGCCAAAGTAATAAGTTCAAATGGTATTTTCTACAAAAGGAAAAAAGTATTGTATATTTTTATTTTATTTTCATGCAATGACTATTTATTTAAACCATGCATATTTTTTCGAGTCAAATTCTCAATTATTTGGTCGGAATTTTTGTATTCTTAGCTTAAAATTTTATTCTGCCAATATATGAAGTTCCAAAAACGTATTTTTTATTTTTAGTTTTTAGATGCAATGATAATATGTTCTAACTGTGTATTCCTTCTTTTTTTTCTTCTGACGAAATGTGTAAAAGTAACTTGATTAAAATATTATTATCTTAAGCGAAACAAAAAATTATAGTCAAAATAATGTTGTTTCACATTTATTTTATATAGATTTTGTTACGGAAAAAATAATTTAAACACTTGTTGGACTTCAAAAGATAAAATATATATTTTATTTTAAAAAATATCATATGGACCTAAAAATTCATGTGGCAGCGCGTGTGTCACACTCCCATGGATTTGTCAGTGTNATAAAAATTACCAAATTCATGGAGGCCCGAACTATTCTGCCATTGAAAGGCTATGGTATTCCCTCATTATAAATCCCTCCAAACCTATCGGGGCATGCTTCTTTCAAAAGGGACATTTATCTTTGAGGTTTCGTACCTTTAAAGAAAAACACGTGAATCTACTACTGTTTCGTCTTGAGAAGGGACGTACCCTTCAGGAAAAGGACATGCACCCGTTGCATGAACGAAAAGGTGAAGGTACCCGTTCGATAACTACTTATTTACATCGAATGCTTACATCAAATTAAATAACTTAATTATATTAATAAAAATTAAAATTAAAACACATATTACTCAACCTTTTATGATAAATAGATACATGTCTAGCATTTATTAATTTTACTGTGCTCTAGACCTACCGAGAATGGAATAAATCTACCAGTAACTTCTACAAATTAAAGGTTAAATAAATACCAAAATTGGCTAACAGAGAACAAAAAGTGCAAATGTGGAATGCAGATTAGAACTGCATTTTATCTAACAGGGTGATTTTTTTTTTTTGAAGCGTAGATCAAAATGTACAAGGGCTCGATTTCATATATGGAAGATTCCAAATCTGTGGCAGGAACAAAAAGATACAATCTTTTCCTTGAGTAAACGTCTATATACACCTGATTTCCAAGAAGAAGAAAAAGCAAGCTCAGTAACCTCATCACACTATCACAGTTTACGCCTAACTCTATGACCAGAAGCGTTCCATTGCAAAGAATGAATAAAATGATACATACAAAATTATAATCTCTTAATATGAGCAAAGAAAGACAGAAATCCAGGGTGCTTCATTAGCAAAATAAGGAAAACATCTATTTCCAAATGCTTCCGCCATGTTGACCGAAAGTACAAAAGCAGATGCGTTTCCTTACGACTTACACAGGTGTGTTTGCGTTGGCACGTCCTGCCAAATTGCTATTCCCCTTTGCCTGGAGTGCAGCAGCCATAGACCTCAACCTGTTTCTAATCTCCGTGAATGATGGCCGAGCTTCAGGATTAGCAGACCAGCACTGTTCCATCAATTTCCTCCACTCGGGATCACACCACTCTGGCATTGGAGGCCGAAGAGTATTCTTCAAAATTCCCCCTACAACCATTATCAACAAATCAAACAAAGGTCAAACTGAAAAGGGTTGGGAAATCAAAAAGATGCACTTCTTTTCTTTCCATTGCCTGAAAGGAAACGGAAGCTCTTCATTAACAAAGAAGACTTATTGAAAATAGCACGTAAGCTTAGCCGCTCTTTTTTGAGCATTAATATGATCAAACCAAAATGAAATAGGTGTACTAGCAGTCCTATCTCCCTCAGACTGAATACATCACAATCTCATAAACACCTTAAAATGTCGCAGGGTCAAGTGGTAAAATTTCTTGAACTACTAGGTTTCTGGAGCTCCCAGAGAGCAAGATTAATGCTTTTGACTGGAATTTAGCATTGAGGAAAGACCCTGAACTCGCGGAGCTATATTTGATTACTGGATAAAAATAGTAGTTCGGATGCATGAGTAAATTTTGGCAACGTCAATATAGAAATCATTTAGAAGGATTTACACTTGCAAAAATAAGGACATAAAGTCAATTTGTCAAAATTTTAAAAGACTAAGCTTTAACTTGGCCAGACACTTTGGCCTTTGCCTCATGTTTCCGAGTTTCACATGTATAAAAGGAAGAATGGCGAATTCTCAAGCATATTTGCAGTAGCAACAATTAACCAGACTAGAGCAAAGGTAGAAACAAGACTGAAGGCAAACAAATGTTAAAAATCATTGAATTATCTGATTTTTGTTTTAAAAAAGGTATAATCTAAAATATAATTTAGCTGAGATGTTGTCAGTTGCTGATTTATAGCACATAATTTTTTTTTGCCATAACAGTCGGGTTTTTTAATATGAAGTCATCCCCTTTTGAATTGTTTATGGACCTCAACAGGATGTAAGTACAGAATTGATCATGCAAATATAAACCACTTGTTTCCGTATACCTTAGATACAACTCCTGTGACAGTTACGAAGCAGAAAATGTTCACTCGGTTTAACAGGTAATCAGAGCCTTACCAATGATTGCCCCACAATGCATGTTTGCATAGGGTTCTTCCCCAGTCAAGATCTCCCACATTGCTATGCCGAATGAGAAAACATCAACCTGTCGGAAACCAAACCATCCAGTTTATTGCTTTATGACATTTTCACGGCTTAATTCATATTATGTCATTGCTTTATGATATATCTGATTGTAGTAAATTACAGTAATTAGTCTAACCTTCTCAGATACTCGGTTACTGCTACCATTTAACAGTTCAGGTGCCATCCAGGGAAGAGTACCTCGTACACCTCCAGATACGAGAGTATTGCGTTTAATTCTTGACAGTCCAAAATCTCCAACCTGCATTAGATATCTTACAAATAACTCATTGTGGCAACATTAGTTTCTTGACTTAAATTCAGATTGGCTTAAATTAGCCTATGAAAATTTATCAGTACAGCTAGCTGGATTCGCCCAACAAAATAAGCATGCAAGAATCTGCTATTCTCAAATAGTAGCTCTCATATATGTTGGTGTGGTAATCTTTGTTTTATTATAAGCAGTCTTTAATAGTCTTAAATTCTACCATAGAAACCTTGTTTGGTGTGGAGGTACACTCTGCTCCTATATCTTTCATCAGTCATTCAAATTGGCTAAAAACTTTTGGCTGGCTAGATAAAGTAATGTGCTTCTGGAAGCAGAAAGGTTATCTGACCAGAAGCCAGTCCAATAATTCCAACATCAATAAAAGCTAAATCATTGGAACTCATGCTTCTAAGTCAGAAGATGCACTCTCATGATTCATTCCAGATTATTCTTGTATACTCAGAAGTGCATGTTTCCCTGACGCAATGGTTGAAGATACCTTGCATATGGGTCGCTGTGGATCCCTCAGACTGACTAACAAATTGTCACATTTTAGATCAAAGTGGACGATGTTTTTTGAGTGCAAATACTCCATCCCAAAAGCAGCATCCATGGCAATTAGAAGTTTCTTGCAACTATCAAGTGACCTGCACAAGGAATTCAGCAGATGATATTAAGTTATGAATTAGAGGGAACATGTAGAACTAATAACCAGATAGAAAGCAACTTCACCTGTCCTTTTTAATAAGAACATTTCTAAGTGATCCATTAGCCATGAATTCAGTCACTGTTGCCAAAGTTCCCCCTGACCCATCAGGTACTACTCCATAAAATGCAACCACATTAGGATGATGAAGGTTTGAAAGGATCTGTGCCTCTCTCCAGAAGTCCTTGATCTGGAAAAAATCAATTTTATTACGAGTTTCACAGTAAGGGTCATAAAAGCTGCTGCTAATCTAGGAAAAAATTATATGCTTGGAAAATATGTTACAGTAAACCAACCAGCCTTTCTTCCTGCGATGACCTCCCAGAAAAACATGCTTTCTTGAGTCTCTTTATAGCAACATCTGTTCCTCTCCATTTTCCATGGTAAACAGTACCATATGTCCCAGAGCCCAACTCCCTCAATTCTTCTAGGTCAGCATTTTTTATGATCTGCAGACTAACAACAGCTGTAGCTTACTGCTTAAGTATGAATTAATGAACTCTTAAAGAAAGCAAACATATTTAAACTCTAAGAAAAGAGATATAAGTTTGCATCCTTTCGTAAAAGCAGAAAGAAGGGTAAAACAAGATCAAGTTACAAACTAATTTCTCAGGGAAGATTCTCCAAGAGATAACCTTCAGCCTATTCACTCAGCAAAAAGCAGAACTTTTTAAGCATTGAAAAGCCTCAACAAGAGAAATATTAATACACTCACAGATACGGGTGGAAAACGGGTGGGTCGGATATCGGCGGTGCGGGTCGGATATGGGCGGGCCGAGTGCGGATAATACAAAAACGGATAAATTATTTGGTGCAACCCATATTTAATACGGATAGAAAATAGGTTAACCGGTGAATAATATGGACACGACTTCTTAAAATATGATCAGTTTTGGGAGAATTCCTAGCCTCCCAATGAGGCTTTGTAAATGTAAAAGTTAAACCTATTGGTTGTCCATTTTTAAAGTGGATAATATGGTTCTTAACCATATTTGACCCATTTTTAAAACGTTCATTATCTAACCCATTTTTTAGTGGATGATATGGATGGATAACTATTTTTTTAATACATTTTGCCACCGCTACGCACAGAGGAAAGGCTGGGTAGACAGTAGATATGCTTAAAAACAAAGGATGAATAAGCAGCTCCCCAAGGAGACCTTTGATTTCAGCAGAAATCAACAGATTAAACTTGGTAACATAGTGACAACTGCTACATAGCCAAAGATCAAACCAAGTCAAGACAATGGCAATTGATAACCAACACAGAATAAGTTAATGGCAAAGCATACATTATACATATACTATGTGGTTTAACTATTAACATCAGTTGTCAACTTGGGGGCAGATTGGCAAAGCAGAAGGTTGGTGAACGAAATCACTGTCTATTTTGTTATACCCAGGGAGTGCATAGTCTACCAAGGACTACTATACCTAGGGTGTTCTGAAAAACAACAGGCTGGAAATTTTGGTATGCTACAACAACAACTACCCAGTAAAATTCCACATAGTGGGGTCTGGGGAAGGTAATGTGTACGCAGACCTTACCCCTGCCCCGATAGGGGCAGAGAGGCTGTTTCCGATAAACCCTCGGCTCAGAAAGACGAAAATAAAATAAAAAACAAGACAAAAGAATTCATTAGTAACTCCAGTAGAAACCGTAATAGTAACAGAAGCATAAAAACCAAAAGATGAATGACATGCAATAACAGTAACCAGAATCTAAGGTCCGGGGCTAAGATAAACAACAAGAATAGTGTGGGTTCAACATAAACTGCAAGCCATCTAAGATCAACCCTAATCCAACCCCGCCTCACCCCCGGTATGAAGTAAGGAAAGCTTTACTACCCCTATCCTACAATCCTAATGCTTGACCTCCAGGCCTTCCTATCAAGGGCCATGTCCTCGGAAATCTGCAGTCGTACCATGTCCTGCCTGATCACCTCTCCCCAATATTTCTTACATCTCCCTCTACCGCTTCTCGTACCCACCACGGTCAACCGCTCACACCTCCTTACCGGTGCATCAAGGCTTCTCCTCTGCACGTGCCCGAACCATCTGAGCCTCGCTTCCCGCATCTTGTCATCCACAGGGGCTACGCCCACCTTCCTCCGAATATCTTCATTCCTAATCTTGTCTATCCTAGTGTGCCTGCACATCCACCTCAGCATCCGCATCTCTGCTACTTTCATCCTCTGGATATGGGAGTTCTTAACCGGCCAACACTCTGCCCCATACAGCATAGCCGGTCTAACCACAACCCTATAAAACTTACCTTTGAGTATCGGTGGCACTTTCTTGTCACACAAGACTCCAGACGCAAGCCTCCATTTCATCCAATCCGCCCCTATGCAGTGAGTGACGTCCTCGTCGATCTCTCCGTCCCCCTGAATCATCGACCCAAGGTACTTGAAGCTCTCTCTTGGGGATGACCTGTGACCCAAGCCTCACATCCCCGCCTACTTCCTTCGACTCAGCGCTAAACTTGCACTCCAGGTACTCTGTCTTAGACCTACTCAATTTGAAACCCTTAGACTCGAGAGTCTGTCTCCAAACCTCCAATCTTTCGTTAACACCAGCCCTCGTCTCGTCAATTAGAACTGTCATCAACAAATAACATACACCATGGCACCTCCCCTTGAATATGGTGTGTCAAAGCATCCATCACCAAGGCAAATAAGAACGGGCTAAGCGCAGAGCCTTGGTGTAATCCCATAACAACCGGGAAATGCTCTGAGTCGCCTCCCACAATCCTAACCTTAGTCTTAGCTCCATCATACATGTCTTTGATCACTCGTATGTAGGCTACCAGCATGCCCTTCGCCTCAAGACATCTCCAGAGCACCTCCCTAGGAACCTTATCATACACTTTCTCCAAGTCAATAAACACCATGTGCAAATCCTTCTTATCCCTGTACTGTTCCACCAACCTCCTAATAAGGTGGATAGCTTTCGTAGTAGAGTGGCCCAGCATAAACCCAAACTGATTGTCGGATATAGACGTCGTCCTCCTCACCCTCACCTCCACCACCCTCTCCCAGACTTTCATGGTATGGCTAAGTAACTTGATACCCCTATAATTGTTACAACACTGGATATCACCTTTGTTCTTGTACAACAGTACCACTGTACTCGACCTCCATTCCTCCGGCATCCTCTTCGTCCTAAAAATTACATTGAACAACCGGAGAAGTTTTATTTTGTGTCTCATACAACTGACACTAGTTGTATGAGGCTCCTTTTTGTCTCACAAATTTGTGGACCCCAATCTTATACTTCTAGGTCCACAAAAATCTAGGCCCACAAAATTGTGAAACAAAAAAGTTGCCTCATACAACTAGTGTCAGTTGTATGAGACACAAAATAAAATTTTCCGAACAACCCAGTTAGCCATTCCAATCCTGCTCTACCCACACACTTCCAAAACTCAACCGGAATTTCATCTGGCCCGGTCGCTCTACCCCTACTCATTTTACGCAAAGCCCCCACAACCTACTCCACCTTAATGCGCCTGCAATACCTAAAATCTCGGAGACTGTCCGAATGCCCCAAGTCCCCTAGCGCTATATCCCGGTCCCCCTCCTCATTTAGAAGACCATAAAAGTACGTTTGCCATCTCTGCTTAATCTGGGACTCTCCCATCAATACTCTACCATCCTCGTCT